ATCCTACTTCCGTAGTGATACTGCCTCGGAAACCCAAGGAGGGGTCGCTATGAGTCGGGGCCGACTCGACGGCAAACAACAACAACAACAATTAAAAATGTGGAATAAATAATCACAAATTGTTGTTCTTATGTACCGTCAAGTCATCTCTAACTCATAGCGACCCCTTCTTGGGTTTCTGGCGGTTCAAACCCACCAGCCACTCCTCGAAAGGAAGGTGGGGCAATATACTTCCGTAGAGATAGTGCTTCGGAAACCCAAGGAAGAGTCGCTATGAGTGAGGTCCGACTCGACAGCAGTGAGTTTGGTTTATCCTTATGGAAGTATATTGCCCCATCTTCTTTCCAAGGAGTGGCTGGTGGGTTTGAACCGCCAACCTTTTGGTTAGTAGTCAAATGCCTTAGGCACAATGCCACCAGAGTTCAATAAAATTTTCTTTTATCTCCCCACTATATCTAGACAAGTCATACCTTCATTGCTCATTGATGTCAACATGAAAGGAATCAAGGCAACTGTCAGCCTTTGCCACCACCTACTACTCATGTCTTGTCCTTTATTTTTCCTTCCTCTTCTACTTTTATCCTGTGCCAGGGTCCCCCTCCCCCAACATGGCTTACGAATCCCCCTAGGAAAGTGTTTGGTCACAGATTACTGCTCTCTAACTCATGAACGTGTTTCTCTTTTTAATTCCATTCCCAATTGCCAGAGTCTGAAACAGGGCTGTATCATCCTTTTTTTTTTTTTTTTCCCTGCGACTCTCTAACTGAATTATGTACCTTGACTAAGGCCTCTAATTCATTTTCTTTAAGCAGACCAGTGGGCTCTTCACTAGTGAACAGTGCTACTGGTCAACCAGTATTCCCTAGGCAACTACTTATTTATGTACACCATGGCCTAGCGCTCTCATTTTTCCCGTCTTGAAAATCTGCCTTTATGTTCTCAACCTTGACTATCTGTCTTTACTCTCTTAGCTAAAGACATTTTTTCCTATCTCTTACTGTGCACCATATTTAAAATAAATCTCCTAGGCTGTACAAGTCTGAGTGTTTCATAGAAATAGGATTTGCTGGAATGAAGATTTGTCCAGTATTGCAAATGAATCTATAATGAGCTTCCCCAACTCCAACCTCTTTTTAACCACCAGTTGGAAGTAGCTGCCAATATCTTCCTTTGTCTTGGTTATTTTTCAGGTCTCCATCCCTGCTGATCTGCTCACTGGTGCCTCCCTTATCACCTCACTCTTTGTTCCCCTTCAGCTCTGTTTCCACACTTGCTAATCTTTTTGCTTCTTGAATTACCTCCCCCACAGTCACATGCTCTTCTCTCTACCAAAACTGACCTCTTCCTTGAGCCTTTCTTGGGCTGTGTCTTGCTGCCCCAATTGCAAAGCCTCGTTCTTCTAGCATCTTCTGATCTTCTTTTTCTTCTTGTCTACCTTATCTATGTATGTGCCTCTGATTCAGTTTTAAATCTAATAAGGTCTTTTTAGTGCTAATATATAGAGCCTAGCTGGAAAACCATTTATGGGAATTAGTAAAACTCTCTTGGTACCTTTATCCTTAGGTTTATCCCATTCTCCTACTGAGTTCACACTGTGGATAATCAGATGTCACCAAATACTAAAACCAAACCCCCTGCTGAAAAGTCAGCTCCAACTCAGAGCAACCCTGTAGGACAGAGTAGAACCATCCCATAGGGTTTCCAAGGGTATAAATCTTTATGAAGGCTGACTGCCACATCTTTCTCCCATCAAGTGCCTGGTGGGTTCCAACCACTGATCTTTTGATTAATAACCAGATGCTTTAACTACTATGCCACCAGGCTCCTTCCATCAGATGTCATGGAGGGAATCTATACTTTGTAATGTCCAGAATGGTTTTCACTTGCTTGTTAATTAATACCATTACTACTCTTCCTGGGACACTTTTATCTTCAAAGGGTCCAACAAGCTCTTTTATTAACTATTCTTTACTCCCAGCCAGTGATAAAGATCAGTATAGTTGAATGAGGTTCAGAAAAAAAGAGTCTTGTCAAGGTTGGAGAACCACTTGCAGAGTTTCCAAAGCTTTGTTCATTACAGAAATTACCCTGAACCCAGACTTCCTTTGTTTTCCTCCATCCAGCAAAGTGAACTGCTCACCCCCAACAGTTCCCAGAATCCCAGAGCTTAGAGGCAAGACATGAGCATTTTGGCTCTTCCCTCAGAAAGCTTCTGCCTCATCACACTATCAGAGTCAGAGTTCAAAGAACTAGAAACTGGAGCAATTTAGGAAACTCTGATCCCTGGGCTGGGCCTCCTTTCTCTGGCTTGGTGCTGTCGCTACCTGTTATGTCAGTGCCTCTGGCCCTCAGAAATAACGCAAGCACAGTGGGGGAAAGGTGTGCTTCTTTGCTCACCTTTGTGAGAAGCATGTGACAATTTCTTCATTCTGGATGGCCTGTTCTCCTCACCCTGACACATGCCCGTATACACTGAGCCTTCAAGGCCCCAGATGAATATTTAGTGATGCTCTGGAATTTCCCAATCTAAAATCCATTCACAACAATGGCAGCTTTTCTCTAGGTATTTTGCAATCTCCTGAGAGAACTGTCAGTCCTCCTACAAAGCTTCCAGATAGTCATGGTCTCCCCATATGTTTCTCTTGGTGAGTACAAGGAGATCTATTTGGTTTAGAGTAGAAGGAGTTGGATTCATTCATTCATTTATTAGTTCATTTGACAACAGAGAGCTTCTACTAGGTTTGAAGTACTTTGCTTAAGGTAGCAGGTGTGCAAAGATCCAGAAGACAGCAGTCCACAGTAGAGTTCCATAACTTCTCTTTGCTTTTGTTCCAGGTGAGGGTTTCCACAACTACCACCACTCCTTTCCCTATGACTACTCAGCCAGTGAGTATCGTTGGCACATCAACTTCACTACATTCTTCATCGACTGCATGGCTGCCCTTGGTCTGGCTTATGACCGGAAGAAAGTGTCCAAGGCCACCATCTTGGCCAAGATTAAGAGAACTGGAGATGGAAGCTACAAGAGTGCCTAAGTTTTGGGTCCCTCAGGTTCCTTTTCCAAAAGCCAGTGGGGAAGAGATGTAATGATCTGTTTATTAACTACTGAATAATGCTAACAGGATGCTAAAGATGATGTTAACCCATTCCAGTACAGTATTCTTTTAAAAATGCAAAAGTATTGAAAGCCAACAACTCAGCCTTTATGATGCTAAGCTGGTATTCTTATTTCTTCTAGTTCCATTTATTGTCCTTCTCTTTGCTTTGTTCCTATCACTTTGCTTTCTCTTCCCCCTCCTTGCCTCCCAGGCAAGCAGCTGGTTGGTCTTTGGTGGATGTTCAATTGCCAAAGCCTAGACAACCTTTCCATAGTGTAATACTAGTGGCCTTTGCCCCAGATAAGTCTCTTCTCCTTGAGCTGTCAGGGTAGGTGGTTCAAGCTAGAAATAAAGCAAGATTTTCTGGGAAGGCCCTTGTTGATTATCTTCAGCCCAGGCTTTTGCTAGTTGGAATGGAAAATTATTCGACACAAGGCTTCTCTAAGCAGGTAGATCCTCAGGGGAGAGAGACAGGTAGCATGCACAGTATGATCGATATGTAAGGATGGGGGTTGGGTGGGAAACAAAGCAAGAGGCAGCTCCTGCCATGCTCAGATCTACAACTGCCCGTCTAGTGAGGGCTACACACACGTGCTCCCTTTCTCTCCTGACTCTGAGTAGGGAATGGCGATGGAGCTTGGCAATGTTAGAATATAAAAGCAAGTTTCAGGGTTTCAATATGGCTTACGCTGGGGATAAGGAAGAATCAGTTAATTTGCAGTACAATTAGTCTCTGTTGGGGAAGGATTGTTTTTTCTTCCATATCAGATAGATTTCTTATTTCATCTAATGAGAAGTCTTAAGGTTGGATGTCTCCAGAATTGGTGAGTCTAGCACCTCATGGAATCATCAAAGTTCTTTCATCTTTCTGCTCTGCCATCTACAGAAAATTGTTCAGCTCCCTTTATAGTTTCAAGATGGCTAGGGCATTTCCAGGCATCGAAAAAAAGGAAGCGTTTTAGGAGGTAGAGTTGGAAGATATACACACACACACACACACACATTTTACTTGGAACACTAATAAAATAACTCACTTAGAGGAATCCCTAAAAGAAGGATACTTGAAGAAACTTTGAAGGAGTTATCTATTTCCATTTATTGCTGGACAGAAGATGGCAGATTTGAGGGGCTAAGTCTGTAAGCAGTTCCTAAGAGATAACTTTGGGCATTCAAAAAACTACTGCGTATGTTATTGGGTGTCCTGATTTGAAAAATGGTTACACGATACAAATACATTAGATTCATTCATTTGATTTCTTCTTGGAATGGGTAAAAACTTCTTCCCAGTGTCACCCTCCTTTTATTCATTCCTTGCTTGCTTAACATTTAGCCTAGTGTCTAGACCTGCCTGAGGACCAGGCAGGAACCCTCTGATTCTGGATTCCTGGCTCTTCCCTTTCTGCCCCTTTTCTCCTACTGGTTCTCTCTTCCCTGACCTTGCTTTCCTTCTCTGGACAGGCAGTCTCCTTTGTGCTGATCCAGAGGCAGTGATGACTCTTACTATCCAGGCAGCTCTTCTCCTACAGTCAAAAACGCTCAGGGTCACTGAACCATTGTTTCTCTTTAAAGTAGCAAGTTGCTGCTTTCATTTGGCCTCCAGAGTGTCTCCACCTTCCACACGTGTTCCCTTGCCACACGATGACTCGAGACAAGGCTGGCAAACCCTCGAAGCATCCCTGGCTCAGAGAGTCACTGTCTCATGTGGCACAGCCAAGCCAAATGCTCATGTTACGGCAGTGACCCAGCCACAGAGGAAAAGAGGGTTTGTTTTCAGTCTTCTGTGTCTGGGTCAGAACCACAGAGCATGCTGGACAACCCCTCCTTGCTCAGTAAGCCTGCCTAGTCAGTCGGTGCTCCCAGCTGACAGTGCAATCTTGTCGAGGTGGGAGGGAGCCTAACCATCACTGGGACAGGCAAGAAGCAAAGGCGTGTTCCAAAGTGCCTCACTTTGAAAGAAGGCCCTGTTCCCTGGACCAGGATGTACTGCAAAGCTTTCCCTTGAGATATGAAATTTGCTGAAAAGACTATGTTGAGCAAACCAGCATTCTGCGCCACACAGCCTAGGGCAGACAATAGTATTGGAGGAAGTCTGAAGCAAACAAAAGATCAGAGCTTTGAGAACCTTGGAACACTCCTGTACCTGTCCCTCAGTAGTTAAAGCAGACACCTGGCTTTTTATTCTATAAGATTGTAATTGTCAAACACCAAATGCTCTACCAACTGTTGAGTCCTGAGGCCGAAGGGAGACTACCTTTCTTGTGTTAATTGAATAGATAGGGGCTACAGGGATTAGCCTGCACTGCAAGCATCCTTTTGAGCTGATCATCTCAGTAGGAAAGAATTGAATGGAAGATCACCGCAGTATAGATCTGCTGACCTGTGTCCACCTACTCCTTGGAAATCTCTGATGGGTGGTTTTAATTCCACAGGTCATCAGATGCCTGCTTTATAACATAACAATAAAAACTTTCAATTCTAATCATGTTCCATGGATCTGATCCATACCGTGACCCTACATGAAGCTGGGCCAAGTTCCTCAGGCTGAGGGCCCCTGTGTATATGAGGGTGTGGAGATGGGGGTGTGTCTGCTGAGCAAGGAACACTATTAAAAGCTCAATTCAAGTGACACGTTACTCAGACCTGACCAAAAGTCTGAATTTCTAACAGTCCTTGCTTCATGGATGTGCTGACAACTTATTTGGGTGCCTTACATCTTTCTAATCAGTCTTGCATATGAGCCTGCCCTCTGCTCCTCCCCCTTGCTCCCCCTGTGGAGAGTCTTTGCAACTGAGAGCCTACAGAAGTGGCTGGCGGGAAGAGGGGCCTGGTTGGAGAATTTTCAGTACAGCTAAAGGATTCCTTTCTGGGCTTCGTTCTGGAAACTTAGGGCTGTTCTGTTGATGGAGGATGGAAGTAATTTGAATGTATTTGGTTTATAATTTTTTAGATTAAAAGATGGGTGTAGCATTTAAAATGAAAATTTTTCTCCTTGGTTTGCTAGTATCCTGAGTGTATTCTCTGTAAGTGTAATTCGAATGGGTCAGCGTGAGAGGTTGAAGAAAGCAATGTGGCAATGTTAATGCTGGTGGTAAAGGCCAGGACCTCTCCTACCACTGTGCTACTGACTTGCTATGTGACCCTGGGCAAGTCACTTAACTACAATGTGCCTCAGTTTTCCTTCTGTTAAAATGAGGATAATAATACTGACCTACCTCAAAGGGCAGTTTTGAGGAATGACTAATGCTTTTTATAAAGCATTTTGGGATCTTTTAGCAGAGGAATTCTCTTAAGTCCTGAGTATTTTTATAGCAACAGTATCCACCATGAACTTAATATTAATATGTCTGTGTCCTGAATGGTATCATTAGTCTCTATGGTTCTCTCCAGGGGATTCAATGAGTCCATTGGGTAAGTGGTGGATGACTAGCCAGACACAATTTGAGAGTGTTAAAAACTCATTGCCATGGAAACATACACAGGATAACTTTTCCTTGATTGGATGGGATTTTTCCTTTTTTATGTGGGATAGTAATTTGTGACCTAAGAATAATTTTGGAATAATTTCTATTAATATCAACTCTGAAGCTAGTTGTACTTATCTGAAATTGTGTTTGTTCATAATAAAAGTGGAGTGAATCTGATTCACTGTGTTTGGAATTTTTTTGGCTGACATTCGAAGTCCCCTGCTCCTCCTGGTACTTACTGACATGGTCAGGTACCCTATCTATGACCTGTATCTTTAAGAGTAAAAAAAGAAGAAGAAGGTATGACAGTTGACTCATACCCTAGTAACCTGCCCTGCCCTGACTAAAGGTAACTTTAGGTTAAATTCTGGGCCTCAGCAGCAGGAAGCCAGAAGTCTCCAACCATTAAATCAAACATATTAAAGCCAGCTGGCACCGCCACCCTGGGAAAATGCTAGGGCTCTCTTGTGTCATGTGGTCACATGGACTCAAGATAGAGATAGTGAGAGGGAGAGAATATTCAACAAAGCACTCTCGGAAAATAGTTCTTCACCTGCCGCCTGGGCCGTCCTGCTCATTCATTCTTGTCTCTGAAATGTAGCTGCCTTCAGAGAATAAAATGGCTTCTTAGGAATGCTGATCTTCCCCAGCAAGAAGAAGGAATACAATCCAAGGAAAAATCTGTAAATTCCTGGAGTGGAAAGGCTTCATGATCCACCTCCATAAAGTGGAAAAGGCTTTTGCTTTTACTGCATGTAAGAGTTCTCATGTACAAAAGAGAAAGGCGATTGTTTTTTGCAACTTGAAGAAGCCACCTAGACTTTGAAGACATCCAAAACCAGCTCTGCCGGTTCACCTCCCATTTTAATCTAAAGTTGTCCTCCCCTTGGGAGACAAGTCTTCACTGAAGTCTTCACTGAAGTCTTGCCAGACCTTAGTAATTTAATAACTACTGCAATGGATGGTATTTTTCTCAATTAATATCTGGCGTTCCACCTTTTGCCTCTTTATTTTGTTTAAAGTATTCAGACCACAGGCAGATTATGCAATAAGAAAGGTAAGCATGGGCTTACTTGTACTTGCTCACTAATCTGTAGTGAACAGCTTCACATAATTGTCAAGCACAGGTAAGCCTGTGCTTACCTTGCTTACCAGGTATTCCATCCCTGTCAGGGATTGTACATATGAAAAAAGGCTTTGATGCCGAAGAGTAAAAAGGGAAGATGCTAGAGGGTTGGGAGAGGGACAGATGCCAGTCATAACCAGAAGTAGCTCCGATAAGGAAAAACTGGGCAATTGTCCACTACTGATTGGTAAGTAAGCCTGTGCTTACCTTGCTTATTGGGTAAGTTGACACTGGTTCAGGCCAAACAGTTCTTCAGTTCTATATCTGCACTGTTCTTTCCAAGGTTCTGATTGGTTTCCCATTAATGGGCATCAGTTTGAACTGTTTATTCTCACAAGGCTCTCTGCTACTTTCTATTTCCAATTTCACACCTACCTGTCCTCACTCTCATTAAATTATATCTCTAAGCTTTCGCCAGGCAATCTATTATTTTGCATGTTTCTTACTTCATCCTGGGCTGTTTTCTTATTCTTATTTGCAAAAGTTCCAGAGAGGAAGAGGACA